CGCGGCACGCGTCAGAAAGAACGTGAACTTCATGTGCGCTCGCATACCTTCCACCGCGAGGAATGTGGTGGCTGAAACGGCGGCGAAGACGCGACCTCAATCTGTTCAAAGCGATGTGTCACCGACTCCGGCGCCGACGATGACGCGCCTGTCATCCTTGTGGTCGACGACGACAGAAGTGTTAAGGCAGCGGCAGCGGCGGCGGCGGTAGCGAACTCGCCTTCCATTTTGAGCACCGCGCGACTCGTCGCCGCTCCGCTCTGCTATATTTTGCTTTGCCGCACACTCTCGCTGACGCCTACAGTTGGATGATGCGGTTTGGGCGGTTATCGTAATGGCCGTTCGCGGTGGCGCGCTATTCGCCGTGTGTGGCGCCGGGAGCCAATCAACGTCCGGCAACGCCCAGCAAATCATCGTCGCCAGCCGCGGTCGAACACAGTGCGCGCGTTGTCGTTGCGTTGGACCGCTGTTAAATTTATCGTAATGACGCGCCACCGCGTGACGACGACGAATACGAAGGCAAAGTCGACGACCTGCGCTGCGCTCGAGGCCCATCGCCATCGTCGCTGACCACGAAGCCGGTGTGTGTTCTGCCAGCTTTTGCGTCCAATAGCCACACCGCCGCAAACAGCCGCTAACAACTTTTACAGTTCAGTAATTCAGTAATCATTGGCCACAGTCGACTGGTGCATGTCCAACAGCGACAGTCGTGAAACGTCACGCAGGCCTGACACTTACGCCATCGCCACCGCCACCGCTACCACCGCCATTTGACGTTTGGTGGCATCGCCAGCCACGCCACGCCGTATCCGCCCGCGTGTGTGCTGCTGCAGAACAGCTGTCGTTCCTGTGCGTGCCCAGCCGCCAGCGGAGTCAAGGAGAGATTCGTGTCCTCGCGCTGCGGCCGCGACCTCCCGCCCTCGTCCTCGACCTCGGTGATCTGGTGCCCTAACGGTCGTCTGCTTTGGCCCCGTCGTCTCCTTGTCAAATCAGCGCAACTGCTATCATCGTGTTTCGATGTCCGCATCATCGTCGGCAACTCGAAGCCGCGTCCCTGTCTCCTCTTCATCCGCCACTGCTTCTTCAGGCCGTAATCGTGTTGCCCTAAACGTCCTGAATCTGGCCACCGCCAGTAGCAGTAGCGGCGATGAGGGGGCCACGCTGGACAGTGGACCAGGCGTCAGCGTCCGACCGGTCACTTACCAACAGCTGGCGACGCGGTACGCACCCGGCGAACTGGTGCCCACTGGCTCGCCGAACTTCGTGTGTACCGCGTTGCCCAGCCACTGGCGTTCAAACAAGTCGCTGCCGGTAGCATTTACGGTTTTCGCTTTGGGTGTCGTCAAGGACGGCACAAAGGTGTCGGTGAAAGCGGGCAACGATGAAAACTTCTGTGCCGAATTGCGTAACTGCACAGCGGTAATGGCTAACCAAGTGGCCAGGTTCAACGACCTACGCTTCCTGGGCAAAAGCGGCAGAGGTAATTAGAAGCTTGTCGCTTCGTTTTTGTTGTTTTTTGCTTTATAAATTCTTCTTGTTTTCTTGCCTTGCGCGCTCGCTTCGCATTTTACGCGGTTGCCGGCGCGTGTCCCCGCACCTTCTTCAACTATCATCCGTCGTCATGGCTGTGTTCATCACTTTCTCACTCAGTTTCCCGCCCGCATTGCCTCTCGTTGCAACGAACACCACGACGTCGCACAACACAGCCGCCAGCGAGAGCACTGGCAACCAAGCTTCGTCATTGTCGGTCGTTGAGCCATGGGCTTGATTGGTCCCTGTATGAATAATTGCTCCTTTAGCTTGCCATTTGCGACGTCGTATTCTTTCTTAAACGTTGTCCAATTTCGATCAGGGTTTTACAGTTTCCACAGTTCGCTGTGGCACGGAGGCGCTTGGTAATCTTCACTGACGATACACCGATGCACATGGCTTTTTTCGCTTTTGAAAACCCATCCTGTCGCGGAAAACCCATTTCAGATATCTAATGACAAAAGATGACAAAAATATACGATGAAGCTGAAACCTAAAGCTGACTGATCCTTAAAGCTGAGCCTACTTCTTTCCTTGATCT